ATCTCCGCGCTTACTAGGCATAAATTCAACCTGCTGCAGCGGGTGGCTCGGCAGTACAGAAAACACCACTCTGCAGCTAATGCAGCGAATGAGTCACAGCATCCGCCTTGCCCCTGGTGAGATTTCACAAGCTTTCTGAGCATCATCAAGCCTTGCGTTGTGCACTTAAAGCTCTCAAATCACAGGATCACACTGAACAACGACCCTGTCAATCTTAGGATGTTACTGCTGGCCACGGCAAGATTAAAAACATTCCCACAACTACAAACCAAGGACCCCTTCAAACTGGATCTCGAACTCAAACCGGGGTCTTGAATGAAATCGCGCAGAACTTACTGGGATTCAACCCCGACCAAAATGGACGCTGAGCATTCTTCCCCAAACAGCGTGTCCCCACTGAGGGTTTCTTACGGTAGGAGTAAAAGGCCGGGGTTAGATCAGGGTACGCTCTGTGGCCCCCGGTTTTCCCACTGTAAATTCTCAGGCAAGAGTTCCCGTGAGATGTTCATGTGCATTTCGATTGCGCGCCGTGCTCGTTTTTTGAGTTATGTCCATTTCCTGTGGCAAGCGCGCGCTTTCGGGACAAAAGTCTCAAAGGTCATTTTGCATGACATTGGCATTGTTCATCCGGCGTGGAGCTTTCTGCGCGTTGCTAAAACGTTGGGAGGCGTGGATTAAGATGAGAAGCTTTTGGGCAATTTGCGCGGCAAGGGAAGTATTTGGTGAACTTGGACGACGTTTTGAAAGGGTCGAAAGTCTCGTTTGTGAACCTGCGGCCATTTTTTGCTTCGGGTATGATGATTCAATGCGGCAGGCCATGCATGTAGGATGCCTCGGGCTCATTTTTCTCGCAGGTGCAGCATACCGTAGACCTCGACCAAAAAGTGGCGGAGACCTAGGTAAAACATCGTCTTTGTTTTTTTCACATGCGTTTTCAATGTTCATGTTTCGCGGTGCGCGCAATGTTTTGTCAAAATCCAACATGTGCTCGCGCATCTCGCGCAACCCTCTCGTGACTTTGTGCACGTCGGATCGCTCTCGTCGTGGCGCGGTGCGAATTTTGAAATCACTCGCGCAACCCTCTGGTGATGCTGCGCGTGCCAGATCGCTCTCGCTATGGCTGTGCGAATTTTGACATGGCTTGCGCAAGCCTCTCGGCACTTTCTGCGTGCCAGATCGCTCTCGCGGCGCATTATTTTAGTTGCTTCTCACAGATTCTGGCAAAATCCTTCTACGACGATCTTGCAAGAGTTTCATGTGCGTCCTTCATGTATGACCTTACAGTGAGGAGATCTTGTGGAGATCCTGGTGAAGTCCTCTCTTGTACAGGTCCTTGTGGTGGAGATCCCGATGAAATCCCTCTGAGAGGTCCTTGCATGATGTTGTACAGGTTCATATGGGATCCTGCTGAAATCATCTAAGAGGTCCTTGCATGATCTTGCCCAGGCCCTTCTGAGAAAATCTTGTCGAGATCCTGATGAAATCCTCTAAGCGGTCGTTGCATGACCTTGTACAGGTCCTTATGAGAAGCTCTTCTGAAGATCCTGCTGAAATCCTTTAAGAGAGGTCCTTGCATGATCTCGCACAGGTCCTTATGAGAAGATCTTGTGGAGATCCTGGTGAAATCCTCTCTTGTGCGCAGGTCCTGGTGAGAAGATCCTGTGGGAATCTTGATGAAATCCTCGCTCAGAGGTCCCTGCATGATCTTGTATGAGCGCTTCTTGCACCATAAATAACACCATTTCAGAATCAAGTCCTCCACCAGTTTAGACCTTTTCATGCCTTTTCTAGTTGGGCATTTCAGATAAAGCAAAAGGGTCATACAATGGTATTGGGTCTGCATGATTTCGCAAATTTCGGGCTGATCCAGCTGGCATATCAATGATACAGGATGATACTGGCTTTTTAAATCGCATTGCTTTTTCTACAACATTGAACACACGCTGCCACCGACCCCTTCTAAGCCCCTTCTACTTTTATTAGAATTTGAACATCACATCCAGCCAGCATCAAGATCGCCCCCGCCCACCCAAGACTCATATGTGCCATGGTCAAAGGATGGTATATGGTTTATGGTCATCCATCCCATATTGGGAATCCTTACAATTCAGCAGGCTTATTATTGATTACCATCCCCCAGTATGCGGTATATCCAACTTTTCGCCATGGCACATATGATGAAAAGAAAACATGAAAACAATCACATGCGCAAATATCATCAAATATCAACGTGCCTCCCAAGACAATCGTGAACAAGCAGAGGGTGTGTGTTGTCGAGTCTTGCCTGCTGATGTCCCACACCAGTCTTTGGAGGGTTGCTGCTGGCTCAATGTCACAAAGAACCTGCCGCGCGGGCCACAAGCTGTCAAGACCATCCATTCCAATCGCTTGGCCACTAAGCTCTCGGTACAGAACATTTGGAGGACACTTCACCAGCTTCATGATACCTCCTTTTTGCATTGGCTGCGAAAGAGCTGACTATTCTCTGGGCTCAGGCTCAGTTTCTTTTCCTTTACATGAAGGACTGTAGACATGCTTAATTTGTGGAGCCTTCCATCTTACATTTGACCTGGAAGCACGTTCAGATGCTAGGTATTTCAAAATGAATGTCAGCTCAGCAAACGGTTCACAAACGGTTCACAAACAATTCATATTTCACAGTCTAAATCGGATTAAATCGGGCTCACAAACATGTTCTTCCCGTGGATCCCGGAAGAGGATGGGCCTGGCGAAGTGCTGCACCGCCACAACCCACGTAGAGGCTTCCTACCGCCAAACGTGACTTCTGCAGGGTTGACATGGACAAAACATAAACATATTTAGATTTAAATAAACAACAAAGAAAACCGAATCAACAACAATTATCCAATCATAGCCAATCTACTGTCCAAGAGAGCAGGAGGCGAAATTTCCGCAAATTTTGCCAAGAAGGACATAGTGGGAGCTCAAATGCAGTAGTTACATGTAGTGACTGTATGTAACTGTATGTGCTTGTATGATGTTTGACAAACCATGAGGTCTGATTCTTCTTCTCATGTTGCACCCCGGCATGGCAAGGCAGCCCTGAATCACCAAATTGACCCAGAGAAGCGTTCCATTCAAGGAACGGAGGCACGGCCAGGCACTGCGTGCATTGTGACAGCCCCTCTGGAAGAGACTGCAATGACAAGACATTCTCTGAGTATGCTCTGAATTGCTCTGATATTCTTCTGCCTTGCTATGAACACAAACAATGCGTGGAAGGAATTTGCACGGCCATCCAGATATGCACCTAGTTTACCTATCGTGCGAACTATCTTTTTTGCCGAGTTCCCGAATCTGCTACTGTACCCAAAAGTTCCTCCCCGTGCTTTCCCATTCTACAAATCTACCATCCTACCATTCTACAAATCTACCATCCTACCATCCTACCATCCATCCATCCTACCATCCATCCATCCACCCATCCATCCATCCACCCATCCATCCATCCATCCATCCATCCACCCATCCATCCACCCACCCATCCATCCACCCATCCATCCATTCACGCATCCACCCACCCATCCACCCATCCATCCATCCATCCACCCATCCATCCATCCACCCATCCATCCATCCACCCATCCATCCATCCACCCATCCATCCACCCATCCATCCACCCATCCATCCATCCATCCACCCATCCATCCATCCACCCATCCACCCATCCATCCATCCATCCACCCATCCATCCACCCATCCATCCATCCAGCCATCCATCCATCATCTTATTGAGAGCAATAATTACGTATCAAAGATGTTGGCAGCTAAAGGGAACTTCACTGAGTCCTTCAGCCTCCATGTTGGCTGGGATTGGTGCGGCAGCGGCACTGGGCCTTCAAGCAACGTGGCCTCTTCTACCAACAACATAAATCCAATTGTCCGGGTAAATGCTTTAAGCATGTCAAACAAATCAAACATAACCCAAAGAATTCAACCGAGAAGCATGAAACGCTGTTGCAAAAAAAGTTCATTGATATTAATTCTCTTTGTTTCAGCGCAAATTGAACAACATTTAGCCAAATTTGACCCTTATTTCTTCCGCTTCCCAGGATACGAAGACCCAAAGTCGGCCAAGCCTAGGTCTTGTGGCAGCAAAGCGAGCCCACAATGTTGGGTTGGATTTGATTACCTGCACCGCGAACTAGGCTGAGTTTGCCTTCCTAAAGCCAGCCGACAAATTCGCAAAGAGGAAAGAAAGGCTTTCTTTCTGTTGATGGAGGTTTGAAAAGGTTGAAAGTGCAAATAGGTCCAATTCCAAGTGAGCCACCTTGTAAATCAAAACGTGGCCAACGCGAATATCTACATAGGCAGCATAGGCTTTGTTTTTGGGGGCGCACTTCATTTTACAGTGTTTTGGACTGTGTAGATCAGCATTGGAAAAGGAAAAAACAAAAACATCTGGAAAGAAAAAAAGGGCTGGCTTGGTTCATTGAGTCCACTTTCAACATGTCGGCTGCCCCTTCTGACATCGCTGGAAAACCAAAGAAGGCATGTCAAGGCATGTAGACTCAATGTAACCCAGCGGACAGTCGAAAAGCATGTGAACCCGTGTCAAAATCGTTCAAAATCAAAAAAATGGGGAAAAAAAGGCTCCGCGTTTGCGTCGATTTTGACGCGTTAGATTTCTGGGAAATTCGCAGGGTGCCAAATAAATACGCTGATGCAAGCCATCAAGAATCGGGACCAGCTAGTGCTAGACTGCTGCGAGCACACGCAAAAACAAGCATATGTTTCCCTATAGTCACTGACCTGATAAATGGCAAACTAAATCATTGACGCATATTGTTGACGCCACATTCATAATCTGCTCTGTCTTTCACCATTGGAATGCACCTAAATATATTGATGATATTGATGTCAGATCAACGCATAGCATATATCATCATGAACACATAGACTCCAGCGCTTTTGGGGCCGGACTTTGTTTCCCCGGTTTCAGACCACTTTGCCATCTATATTCCATTGTGCATAACTTTCTTGCTTCGGCCTTTTACGGTTTGAAAGCCTTTCAGAGCTGGCACGTTGCGTATCAGCATCGATGGTGAGGATGGTGATGATGATCGTGATGATCATGATCGCCAAGAGCGGGATAGGAATGGACCGTGACGGGAGTTTAAAACTTGGAGAGAAATTCCGAATCCTTTCAGAAGTCCAAGCATCTGAACTAGCAAGTTGTGCTCATCCACCCCCGTGAATTATTGGAGAGACTTCAGTTAGTACAGCCCCTTCGTGCATTTTTACTTCGCAATCCCAATGATTCCAATGATCCTTCAATAATTCAAAAGTCTGGATGAAGGGTTTTCTACCTTCTCAATGGTATGTGCCTGTCTCAACCCTCCTCTCTGTATCAAAGGTGCTTTCTTTTTCCCCTCCTCAAAGGTCCTGGTTTCCCAGCCGTGTTCCTGGAAAACTTTCCCATATTCGAAGGATTTCTCAGGGGCAAATGTTTTCCCACAGTGAAGGCTCTCGCTCAAGGCTGCAAAAAATAAAATTAAAAAAAACCGGAGACAAACCCATACCCCGGGGAAGAACACTTGCGACCGAACATTGCAAATATGCATAAAACATGCTATGTGTTTTTCTCAATGGTATGTGCCCGTCTTATTATTTTTTATTATTATTTTTATTTTTCCCGAGAGCGTCTGAGCGCAGGGTTCTTCCAATAGTGGGGGTCTGTAAAACATCTTCTCATCTTCACAGTTTCTCATCTTCACATCTTCTCATCTTCACAGCTTCTCATCTTCTCATCTTCTCATCTTCACATCTTCTCATCTTCTCATCTTCACATCTTCTCATCTTCACATCTTCTCATCCTCCCATCTTCTCCTCATCTTCACATCTTCACATCTTCTCACATCTTCTCATCTTCTCACATCTTCTCACATCTTCTCACATCTTCTCACATCTTCTCACATCTTCTCACATCTTCTCATCTTTACATCTTCTCATCTCACACCTTCTCCTCTTGCCCTCTTGCCCTCTTGCCCTCTTGCCCTCTCCTTCTTTTCTATTTCTTTCTTGAAGGCGGGAGCAGGGGCAGTGGCAACGAGACGGCACGAAACGCAACCCTTTCGCACGAAATGAGGTTCGATCGTCAAAAACTGAGGTGAAATTGCGATTTCAAGTGGTCCGGCGCAACCCTTTCGCACGAAATGAGGTTCGATCGTCAAAAACTGAGGTGAAATTGCGATTTCAAGTGGTCCGGCGCAACCCTTTCGCACGAAATGAGGTTCGATCGTAAAAAACTGAGGTAAAATTGCGATTTCAAGCAACCCTTTCGCACGAAATGAGGTTCGATCGTCAAAAACTGAGGTAAAATTGCGATTTCAACTTGTCCCGCGCGACCCTTTCGCACGTCCCTTTCGCACGAAATGAGGTTGGATCGCCAAAAACTGAGGTAAAATTGCGATTTCGTGTTTCCGGTGGACCTTTTCGCACGAAATGAGGTTCGATCGGCAAAAACTGAGGTAAAATTGCGATTTCAAGTCGTCCCGCGCGACCCTTTCGCACGAAATGAGGTTCAATCGTCAAAAACTGAGGTAAAATTGCGATTTCGTGTTTCCGGTGGACCTTTTCGCACGAAATGAGGTTCGATTGTCAAAAACTGAGGTAAAATTGCGATTTCAACTTGTCCCGCGCAACCCTTTCGCACGAAATGAGGTTCGATCGGCAAAAACTGAGGTAAAATTGCGATTTCAAGTGCGATTTCAACTTGTCCCGCGCGACCCTTTCGCACGTCCCTGTCGCACGAAATGAGGTTGGATCGCCAAAAACTGAAGTAAAATTGCGATGTGTGTAAAAGCGTCTGTGTGTAAAAGCGTCTGTGTGTAAAAGTGTCTGTGTGTAAACGTGTCTGTGTGTAAAAGTGTCCGTGTAAAAGCGTCTGTGTAAAAACATCTGTGTGTAAAAGCGTCTGTATGTAAAAGCTTCTGTGGGTAAAAGCTTTGTGTGTAATAGCCTCTGTGTAAAAGCTTCTGTGTGTAAAAGCTTCTGTGTGTAAAAGCTTTTGTGTGTAAAAGCGTCTGTGTGTAAAAGTGTTTGCGATGCAAATTCTCACTATTTTGTCTTGCTACTCCTCTTCTCGACTGCCTATAACACATCTTTCATATATTGTTTGTACAATTGTGTCTCCATACTAACAAGAGAAGACCCTGCTCCTCTACGCTCTCGGGCCATCCGTCGTCTAGTTTTTCTCCCCGGAGGTCCCGGAGAGAAACCCTTGGAATTTCTTCCCCCGGAGGTCCCGTAGAGGAACCCTTGAAACCCTTTTGCTTGTTTTTTTTCTCTTCGTCGTCTTTCGTCGTCCGTCGTGTTTCAATGGGGATCCTTGAGACAGACACTTGACCTGAGCAAGACCACAAACGAGAAAGTACCTTGGCGCAGACCTTCGAATAATGCTGCGGGTGCTCGTCTGTGCCAGAGCCAAATTTCCATGTTGTGTCTCAACATCCACCGCCTTCCACCACTATCACTCTGGTCTGGAAAAGGCTGTCACCTTCCCGAATCCTCAAATATCCTCAATCTAGATCGAATCTTGATCGCGCACCTCACCCTTTTTGAGAGGTCGCATGCCACCAGCGCAACCAGGGCGGGTGGCATCCTCCACACACATATCGAGCAGTAGAAAATGGCAAATGCGCACCACGCAACAAGCTGCAGAACAAACAAGCCAGCTGGCAATTATTTGCAGAAAAGCTGGACGGCAAAGTCCACAGCAAATTGTTAGGAAGTACAGTACAAGCTGGACTGGTAGAATTATTGAACGTTTGGAAGACCCTGCCTGCATAGGCAAGTTCCACCGCAAGGGGGCTTTCTTTGTTTGGCCCCTTGAAATGCGCACATCATGCTGCTAGTGAGACTGTTTTGAAAGCGCAGTTACCGTTTCCCCAAGAAACACGGCTACGCCGCCACTTTGATTTAGTCGAGGTAGCTGCTTTGAAGTTTAAACACCTTCCCGCATCTTCACACTAAGATTCTAGATTTTCCAATTCCGCAGTTGACTCTCTTGGAATGTTGCGCGTTGTGTCATGTTCAATCCCTCTATTCTTTGTATTTCTGGGTTGCTTGGGGGATCGGGAGAATACATATATAATATATACTAGCAGACTCTTTGCTTGGTGCCTGGCTGTGTATATATGGTGTTGATGTGAAGCCAACGCAAAACAATATCGGTTCTTTATTAACCATCATTTCATACTAGTATCATTTATGTAGTGGTAATTCGGGTAGCAGTGTAGAAAGCAAGGCGCTGTCCAGGTTTGGAGAATTGTGAAACGTCACAGCCAATCCAGACCTTTGAGGTCCGCTATCGCTCAGGTACCGACCGATAGTAAATGGCGCGCTTTCTACGAGAGTTTTTGTGTTTGTGCTCCATGGGTCTGGTAAGCCGCCGTCGTTTGCTGGCCGGTGCTGCCTCCAGAAATCGATTCTGCGTTTGGGTTTGACAGATTGCAAATGTCTGCAAACAAAATGTTGACTAAACCAGAGACAAGATGAGACAAGTACAAAAGCAATCATGACATCACAGGATCCAGGATGTGAAATGCCATGTGAAATCTGGTAAACAAGTTAGCAAACAATCACAACAAACACTCCTCACTCACTCCTCACTAGTCTCATCACTATTACCTGCCCAGCCTTTGGCTCCTCAAAACCATTCTCTGAGCACACCTGGACATTCCATGACGGCCCAAAGGAATAACCCCTGTACAGCTTGGTATATGATGTATATGCTTTACACCCCCCCTGCCTTCCGTGTATATACCCCCCCCGCTTCATACATTTCCATCAAATGTATGAGAGGTAGGGGGGGGCAGGTGGTCAAGGTCGGCGACGGAAAGAGGTGCCAAGAAGGTTTATACATTATGATTTTTTGGTTGAATGAGATACGGGGGGACCTGCCTTGCACCAGCACAAAACAATATTTGGCAAACCCCAAAAATGTATTCCTCTGGGGGGTGAGCTGCTACTATGAACTATCAGTTCATGGCAAGTTAAGAATCTTAAAATGTATGAAACATAGGGGGAGCTATGTTGATTTATTGCAGTAATCTGAATGACACGAGACAATATCAAATGTATAAAATATAGGGGGGACTAGGTGGTCTCTGTAAATTAAAACGCTGGACATGTATGAAAGTAAGGGGGGACTATGGTGTTTCAACCTCGAAAACTGACGATGCCCTTCGGTTGATTTCCACAGCTTCTTTCGATATCTGGCCACAGAATCGATGAGGCCCAAGCGATTTCCAGTCGTTCTCTTTGCAAAGGCTGCAATTTCACGAAATTTCGAGGCTTGTTGAATGGGATCTGCAGAAAACAGTACGGCTGCGCATTTTTTCCACGATGCTTTGAAGTTTGTTGCGTTTAATTTTACAAGCAAAGATGCAGAGCATCGCATGCCAAGATTTGGAAGCAACAAGAAATACTTGAACATTGCGCGCAATATCGAAGCCCGCAAGACTTCAACATACTTCAGCACACTTCAACCATCTTCAACCCAAAGCTCAACCTGAAAACGCATCCTGTCGGTGCCGCACAGTCCTTTAAAATTGTTGGAGAAAGGCACCCTAACAATAGACAAGAATCAGCAACAACTACTGATACTATTGCATTTAGTATTCTCAAAACAACCTTCGGCGTGAATTTAGATAATGTATCATGAAAGTACGGCGTGAAACTGCTGCTGACCCCCCAGGTGCATACATTCATGATACTTCATCTGCACCCCCCCATCTCAATTCCCACCCCCTTCCAATTTTCACGCCCCCCTCAAAATTTGGGAATTATGAATGTATTAACCCATGGGGGTAGGTGGCCTCTTATGTTTTGGCAAACTTAGATTTCAGGGGGAGGGACCTCAAAAACGTCATGCTATTTCGTAAGATTCCCCAGGAAAACTCCATGAGCATCAAAGATCCATGGCCTTGCAAAATCAATGTATGAAAACCCCCTCCCCACCTTTTTCTAAACAAGCTTTTGAAGCCAAATACTGAAAATGTATTAGGATGACCCCCCCACCTCTTTAGGTAATCTCTTAATTTTACGAAAAAAAAATCATACAATAATGCTGTTTCAGAGGGAAGGGGGTCTGCCTCCCGCCCCTCAATATACATGCTAGGGAGTGGGGGATTGTTTTACATTGTTTTTCCCACTTAAAAGATCTTAAAAGTATCAAACAAATTCAAACAAGATAAGCAAATATTTCAAATATATTCAAATATCCCATTCAGCATCTTCAGACTGTCCAGGGAGCTGACTGAAGACTCGGCAGGATGTCCAGGAAGGCTTTCTGCCAAGCGCTCAATGTCCTGTCCACTGGGCTCATTGTGCTTGGTCAAAACGTCACTGTGGCTGGGTGTGGCAAGCTGTTACTGGCACTCTCCTGCACATGGAAGGCCGCAGGTGCCAAAGCGGGGTCATACCTTTCACTGAAGAGCTGTAGCATGCTGTAGCACTGTACCACAAGCGGTGCAGGTCTCCTAGCGACTGAGGCAGTTGCCAAAACAGCTCCTGCTTTCTGGCCGTGTACCTCCTCAATCTCGCTCCACTCGCTCCACCTTGCGGCGCAAGAATCCCAAGGGTGCCAAGAGTCAGATTTTGTATAATATCTCTGGCATTGGCATACTACAGTTACTACATGTTTCTACATGTTACTACATGTTACTACATGTTACTACATGTTACTACATGTTACTACATGTTACATCATGTTACTACATGTTACTACATGTTACTACACGTTACTACATGTTACATCATGTTACATCATGTAACTACATGTTACTACACGTTACTACATGTTACTACGTGTTACTACATGTTAGTTACTACATGTTACTGCATGTTACTACGTGTTACTACGTGTTACTACATGTTAGTTACTACATGTTACTGCATGTTACTACGTGTTACTATGAGTTACTACATGTTACTACATGTTACTACACTGCGTGTTACTACGTGTTACTACGTGTTACTACGTGTTACTACGTGTTACTACGTGTTACTACGTGTTACTACATGTTACTACATGTTACTACGTGTTACTATGTGTTACTACGTGTTACTACGTGTTACTACATGTTACTACGTGTTACTACGTGTTACTACGTGTTACTAAGTGTTACTAACTGTTACTATATACGTGTTACTACGTGTTACTATATACATGTTACTACGTGTTACTACGTGTTACTACCTGTTACTACGTGTTACTACGTGTTACTACGTGTTACTACGTGTTACTACGTGTTACTACGTGTTACTACGTGTTACTACGTGTTACTACGTGTTACTACGTGTTACTACGTGTTACTACGTGTTACTACGTGTTACTACGTTACTAACATGGTTACTACATGTTACTACGTGTTACTACGTGTTACTACATGTTACTACGTGTTACTACACTACTTACTACGTGTTACTACGTTACTACATGTTACTACGTGTTACTACGTGTTACTACTGTTACTACGTGTTACTACGTGTTACTACGTGTTACTACGTGTTACTACGTGTTACTACCATGTTACTACATGTTACTACGTGTTACTATGTGTTACTACGTGTTACTACGTGTTACTACATGTTACTACGTGTTACTACGTGTTACTACGTGTTACTAACTGTTACTATATACGTGTTACTACGTGTGTTACTACGTGTTACTACGTGTTACTACCTGTTACTACGTGTTACTACGTGTTACTACGTGTACTACGTGTTACTAGTGTTACTACGTGTTACTGTTACTTTACTACTACATGTTACAGGTGTTACTACGTGTTACTACGTGTTACTACGTGCTACTACGTGCTACTACGTGTTACTACGTGTTACTACGTGTTACTACGTGTTACTACGTGTTACTACGTGTTACTACGTGTTACTACGTGTTACTACGTGTTACTACGTGTTACTACGTGTTACTACGTGTTACTACGTGTTACTAACTGTTACTACTATATACGTGCGTGTTACTACGTGTTACTACGTGTTACTACGTGTTACTACGTGTTACTACGTGTTACTACGTGTTACTACGTGTTACTACGTGTTACTACGTGTTACTACGTGTTACTACGTGTTACTACGTGTTACTACGTGTTACTACGTGTTACTACGTGTTACTACGTGTACGTTACTACGTGTTACTACGTGTTACTACGTGTTACTACGTGTTACTACGTGTTACTACGTGTTACTACGTGTTACTACGTGTTACTACGTGTTACTACGTGCTACTACGTGTTACTACGTGTTACTACGTGTTACTACGTGTTACTACGTGTTACTACGTGTTACTACGTGTTACTACGTGTTACTACGTGTTACTACGTGTTACTACGTGTTACTACGTGTTACTACGTGTTACTACGTGTTACTACGTGTTACTACGTGTTACTACGTGTTACTACGTGTTACTACGTGTTACTACGTGTTACTACGTGTTACTACGTGTTACTACGTGTTACTACGTGTTACTACGTGTTACTACGTGTTACTACGTGTTACTACGTGTTACTACGTGTTACTACGTGTTACTACGTGTTACTACGTGTTACTACGTGTTGCTACGTGTTACTACCTGTTACTACGTGTTACTGCGTGTTACTACCTGTTACTACATGTTACTACATGTTACTACAGGTTACTACATGGTACTACATGGTACTACATGTTACTACATTTTACTACATGTTACTACATGTTACTACATGTTACTACATGTTACTACATGTTACTACATGTTACTACATGTTACTACATGTTACTACATGTTACTACATGTTACTACGACATATTGGAATCATCTTGGCATGCCCCAACATTTCCCAACGGATCACTTCGCAAGCTCGATGCCTCCAGTGACCGTGTTGGCATTCTCCTCGAAGTTCGACCTTTTTGAGCGCTGTGATTTTCAAAACTGTGCCAGACTGTTGCAGTGACACTTGCCTTGTACTATTCTTGTACTATTGTCACAACATGCCACAACATGTCACAACGTAACATGTTACAACATGTCTGTTTTTGTCTGCCTTTGCTCTGATTGTTGCTTAAGCGACTGTACCATGCGATTTCTTTGCTCACAGAAAGCTGGTGCTGAATCCATGTGATCTGCTGCGTGCCAGGTTTATGAATGTTCGCAAATTTCGGGAGAGCTAAATGGAACAAGAGTGACATTTTCTGGAAACTAGATAACACCGGACACCTAAGATTGTGGGTGTGGACATGTACCTTAGGGGCTGGCCGAGGAGTCAGCGCATGTGATGCCACATCGAGAGCAGCCTCATTCACTGCGCCGCATTGGAACCTGATATTGATGCCACTGATCTGAGCTGTCCAGCCAAGCATTGGTTAAGCAATTTCTTGCAAGCTGATGCCGCTCGTGTTGCATCCTCCAGCTTGACCTGAACGCGTTGAACGTGCTGAACGTGCACATAGTTGTCTACGTCAAATTGGCTCAATGAGGCGGCAGAGGTCATTTGGAGATCACTGATCCGAAATATTCATAACATATGCATCAAATATTCGTAAACATAATAAACATACACATTCTAATGACATATTTCCACATATTTCCACATATGGAAAGGTCTGGGCAGGTGCAGAGTCAGGTGCAGAGTCTGCCTGACTACGCACTGCTTGGAGGACATCGTCCAAGGTAGCCTCGAGGTCACCTCCTCAGTCACGGTAGCCATGGCAATGTTATATTCAATATTAATCAATATTATTCAGTTCTATTTGTTTCAGTTATATGCAGCTATGAATATCTATGAATCATGCATTGGGTATGCAGCCAGTATACATGGTTATGCTATGTTATGCTATGTTTATGTTATGCTTAATGGGATCCTGATGGGCATAGCTACACTGCTACGCAGTGCACCTATGATATTATGTGCACTTCTAAATCTCACTTCCTTGCACATCTTTCCTGCATTGTGCATCTTCAAGGTTCCCATCTCTGCTCTGAAATCTGGTCTGTGGAGCAGACCAAAATTAGGTGTGGCCAAAGACCTCCAGAATCGATAAAAGTCCTTCAAGGAAAAAAAGGAACACGCAACAAAACATGACAAGCGATGTCATGATCAGTTTTTGCATGCTGCATATATATGCACAATTGTACCAAATTTGGGCCAGAAACCTTCTGTCACATCACAAGTGTCTGTATGTATATCTAGTATGTATGTATGAATGTATGAATGTATGTATGTATGTATCTATCTATGTATCTATGTATCTATGTATCTATGTATCTATGTATGTATGTATTTATGTATGTATGGATGGATGGATGGACGTATGGACGTATGGATGTATGGACGTATGGATGTATCTATGTATCTATGTATCTATGTATCTATGTATCTATGTATGTATCTATCTATGTATCTATCTATGTATCTATGTATCTATGTATCTATGTATCTATGTATCTATGTATCTATGTATCTATGTATGCATGTATGTATGTATGTATGTATGTATGTATGTAACATATGTAACATATGTAACGTATGTATGTATGTATGTATGTATGTATGTAACATATGTAACATATGTCACATATGTCACATATGTAACATATGTATGTATGTATGTATGTGTATGTATGTATGTATGTATGTAACATATGTAACATATGTAACATATGTAACATATGTAACATATGTATGTATGTATGTATGTGTATGTATGTATGTATGTATGTAACATATGTAACATATGTCACATATGTAACATATGTATGTATGTATGTGTATGTATGTATGTATGTATGTATGTAACATATGTAACATATGTAACATATGTAACATATGTAACATATGTATGTATGTATGTGTATGTATGTATGTATGTTTGTATGTATGTATGTATGTATGTATGTATGTATATGTAAGTATGTAAGTATGTAAGTATGTAAGTATGTAAGTATGTAAGTATGTAAGTATGTAAGTATGTAAGTATGTATGTATGTATGTATGTAGGCAGGCAGGCATGCATGCATGCATGTATGTTTGATTATGTATGTATGTATGTATGTATGTATGAATGTATGTATGAATGTATGTATGAATGTAAAAACACACATGTCACGGCTACAAGATGCGTGTATCAGTGTATCTGTATATATATATATATATATGCGCATGTGTACATTATATATAGTATATGGGTGTATATATATATACATATGCATATCTTACAAGTAGATAAAATGCACAGATTTAGAGCTGCCGCCAAGCAACTATAGCAATATCAGGCTCCATTTGATGCAACTTGAACTTCCAAAACCATGAATCTCCTCTTGAGCTGCTTGCTGAAAACGACCACAATAAGCATCAGGTCTGGAGTCTGGCCTTATTTGAAGGGCTGTTCCAACTATGCTATGCTGAGGTGCCAGAAAGGCGCGAATCCACGAAGATCAGCAACAGATCGATCCGCTAAGGAAAGGATCCATTCCTCTGCAGTCTGACTAGGAATTTGGCGACAACCCCGTCACCAACAAATCGACTGCTTGATCGTCAGAAAGCCTGCCCCAAAAAACAAGCAATGGCATCGAACTGCAGTACGCACTGAAACGCTTGTAACATACTATATAAATCTAAAAGAATCTATATAACCGCAATGACTCAAACATGGCTGCTGCACCCCAGTTTTGTCAGGGACTCTATGGCTATGGAGACTAGGACTGACCTGGCAGTGTGCCACTTTGTGTTCACACTGGGCAACAAGCAACGCCAGAATTCAACGCGGCGGCGCTCTTGATTGGCAGTACTGCACAATGAAACTTTGTGCAACTGCTCCAAACACTGCGCCTAAAGTCAACACTTTCTGATCTCGCTTCCATTGTATCAAAGGCGGGCTCTGTTTGGCCTCAGGCCAACGGCACGGGAGCAAGCTTGCAGGCAAGACTGCATTTGGATGCATTTGGTCCTTTTCTAAGCTGACCCTACTCCGAACCGTTAAAGTCGACCAATTTAACAGAACTGTGTCAAATCTCATTGGGACGCCGTTGGATCAGGAAGACCAAAAGCAAGGTCAACCCCAATGGGACGCCGATGTACGACAAACTCTGTTTTGGCAAGTTTTGCTGTGTGAAAGATGAGGAAACACCTTGTGGACGCAACTCCCAAAACATCTTCAAAGTGGTATTAAATACAACAAAAAACACTCATGTCATATTGGGACGCCAGTGATTCACCACATGTAGAAAAACTGCTTTTACCTGTTGGATTCTGTAGGGACACGGTTACCCTCTGGTAAACTAACGTAACTATGGAAAATCACAATTTTTAAATATTTTTAATGGGTAAATCCACTATAAATGGCCATTTTCAACAGCTATGTTAGTTTACCAGAGGGTAGCTGTTTCGAACGACGTCCGAACGACGTCCGAACGACGTATCGAACGACGTCAAAGGGTATCAAAACCCAGACCTTTGGATTAATTTGCTTTCATGTTCCTTTCATTCTCCTTTCATTTCCTCTCATTTCCTTTCATTGTCCTTTCATGCGATCATGAAAACATGGTATAGATACAACCTAAATACGAAGTCACACAAAGTCGCTGGCAATGCAAAACCCACGAAAAAGTCAAAAACTGAAAAAAACTAACTTGCTAGACACCAGCTGGACGCAACATTGGTCAACTTTAGAAGTTGCGTGCGCGCAGCTGGGACGCTCATTTCATTGAAATCGTTCAACTTTAACAACTCAGAGTACTGGTTTCCAGCACGCACTCTCGAATATTATCACGACATTTCTAAACCACTTGTTGCACACAGTTGTTCTGAAGTGAATTGATATTACGTATTATTACGTGATGTTGCAGTCCGTGTGCTTGGACAGTTTCAACTCATCATGGCCAATTCCAAAAGCTGGGTCTGCCTTTGACATCGTGAAGGCTTTGCAATGCTTTGCAAACTTTCATTCGACATGCAGAATTGTGGGTGCTACTATGGCGCCGGCTCTTTGCATCCTGAGAACTTTGCAGGATGTTCACCAACTGCTGCCTTTCAGTGGAGGTCAGTGCTTCAGCTAAAACAACACAATTGCCATGGGTCGCCATGGGTCACCATGGGTTGCCGTTGGTCGCCATCCAGGTCTCACATGTCTCACTTATTGGTGCTCGATGTTGCTCGAGCTTTGAGGATCATACACCAATCGCGGCAGCTCACGCCCAAGACAAATGGCTCTGACGAGAACCTCAGCTCGGTCAGCTCCGAGCTAAAAGAGACGTGATACAGTATCAATTCAGTAAAACTCTTCAAAGAAAATGAATAGAACATGCATATAAGCATTGGAGGATTAGGGACAATGGCGGACTGGTCACCTGATGCCTAAGCACTTGAGAATGAGGGCCAAACACGAATATCAATATCAGAATACGCAGCTGACTGCGCTACAGCAAGCACCTAAGGCAAAAGGCTGGCAATCCACTCAGGTGCAATGTGTTGTTGAGTG